TATATATATATATATATATATATATATATATATATATATGACTGTATATCGGAACAGCTGTGATTCGGCAGTAGGTAGTTACAGCGTGCCGATATACAGCCATATCTCATGTCTACTCGTGTGATATTGCATTTATGCAACAGTTTGACAGCACAAGTGTGTAAATACATAGGAACGTTAAGTTGCTTCATTAAAAGCTTATTGAATTACTGTAGTAACAGCAGTGTATAATGTATATTTAAGAGTATTGTGAGAGAAATATTGACTGAGTGAATGTGTTTACCTGCATCTCATACGGCGTTCATTCTTCAGATCAATCTCATATTCACAATAAAACATTCGTTTGAATGTCTGATCGTCTCGCACTATCCTTTCGTCTGTTACGGGTGATTTCTGAAGACAGCACTGCTCAGTGCATGTGTTAGCTGCGTACAAGCTGGTGTTGTTCAAAACTGTGCTTTTGTATTTTTATATATACAGTCAAACCAAAAATTATTCAGACACCAGATAAAATTGTAGTTATTTTTTTACTACTGGGTGCAGGACACTATAGTTCATTCATGTAAGTGAGGATAGCTAAATAAAGTAAACTGTGACACATTATACCCAAAAATTATTTATAGAGTGGACTACCAGTAAAATGTATAAAAATTTGAGACCAAAGATTTAGACACTTTGACCTGACCATGTTTTGCTGAAGTGTTTTTTCTTTAACTGCTAATACGACCGTTTTACACCACAGACTGAAGAAAATGAAGCATTGCTTGGTAATTGGTTGACCTAAATTGGTAATATCTGATTGTATACTTAAATTTAACAGCTTACAGCTATTCAATCTAACTCATTACATACCTTTCTATCAAAGTAATCTGACATTATCTAGATGAATTTGTTCTGACACAGCCTAACTCCGAGTTCTTGTCATATTTTATTACTATTTTCTAAACTAAAACGAATAATGTGAAGGTGTCTGAGTAAATGTTAGACTGTATATGTAAGCGTGTGTGTGTGTATATATAAATTATTGTAATTGTCATATTTAAAGGATCTTGATTGAATAGTTTTAATGATGCTATTGAATTGTTTTTGCCATGTATATAGCCATTGCTGCTGACTTGGTGTTAAATCATAAATAAATCAAAACATATTTTTTTCCCCTCATCAGTTTCTGAACAGATGCAGCAGGTTGTTGTCATGGTAACTCAGCTTGTCTGCATGTGTTTGTGTTTTGCATCCCTTTCATAATCTCTTCTGCAGAATAAACACAAAACAGACTGCTATTAATTCTGAAATGCTGTACAGAATAAAAAGTGTGTTTCTTTCTCTCTCAGGGAGCGTCCGCTTTGTTCGATATGATAGAGTACTATGAATCCGCCACTCATCTCAACATCTCCAGCAACAAGCACATCGGCACACGCGGCTGGCAGGCCGCCGCGCACATGATGAGGAAGGTGAGGCTTGAGTTATACTCATTAGCAAAGAGTCGATCTGCTCATCTTGGCTCCTCATGTGTCTGTGTGCCTCCAGACGAGCTCTCTGCAGTACCTGGATGCTCGTAGCACCCCGCTGCTGGACCATTCGGCTCCGTTCGTGGCCAGAGCTCTGCGGATCAGCGGCAGTCTCACCATCCTGCACCTGGAGAACGCCGGCATCTCAGGACGACCGCTGATGCTGCTGGGTAATGACTGGAAAAACAATGATCGGGAACAATGTGAACATTAACCCTATAAAACCTAATGTATCATATTTGATACATCGATTTCTAAGTGCATCTAAGTGTTTGTCTTCTACATGCCTTCTCTCATTGTGTATGCTTTAAAAGGCCTTTTGTGATAACTGTGCAAAGGTCAATTTTCAGCTTGTGCTTCACATGTCTTTTTTTACTGTGAAATCTACTGATTTTTATCAATTAAATGTAAAAATATGTTTTATATTGTTTACATTGTTAGTAATAATTCGAAATGAACACTTACTAGACTGAAGCAACTTTATACATGCATGTTTTATAATAAAAATATATTTATAATTTTTTTCTCATTTTGTCTCTCATAGTTGAGGTATACCTATGATGAAAATTACAGGCCTCTCTCATCTTTTTAAGTGGGAGAACTTGCACAATTGGTGGCTGACTAAATACTTTTTTGCCCCACTGTATGTGTAATGTGTGTATAAAGTGAGAGTTTTTCTGTTTAGTATCATGCTTTATGCATCAAATCCTTGTATAGTTTGATATAATTAGAATATGGAGGCAAAACTGTTCAGATATTCAGAGACTCAAACAGCAAGAATATGCAATTTGGTGATGAAATGATGATGCTTGTAATGTAAATCAATAAGATTTTATAAATATAAATATCAGTCATCATTCTATATTTCCAATAACACGTCTTAGTAAGATAATATTGAAATGCTTAGTTTAATGATCAAAACATATGATGCATATGTAATACAGTAATGATTGAGAGATGAACAAATAAACATTCCTCAAAAGCTTGATGATCATATTTGAGACTTTCTGACTGTTCTAAAAAAAAAATAATAATAATGATTGATAATCAAGTAAACCTTCAGTCCAGTAAGTGTTAATTTTGAAATATTAGTAATGTATGTTATTCTTAAGTTTATAAAAATCAGTAAAGACTTGACGGCAAATAGATACATGAAGCACAAGCTGAAGGTGGACGTTTGCACAATTATACTAAAAGGCCTTTTACTTGATAAAAAAATAATTAAAACGATCAATCAGATAGATAATAGATATTAGAGGCTTTAAAAATTCATGCATCAGTTACTACAGAGTAGGCTTTATGTTAATAATTTTTCCAAAATGAAATGTGAATGAAGCAGTTAAAAAGCAGTTTATTTCATGCATGTGTTTAGCCACAGCACTGAAGATGAACATGAACCTCAGAGAGCTGTATTTGGCCGAAAACAAGCTGAACGGTCTGCAGGACTCGGCTCAGCTGGGGAATCTGCTGAAGTTCAACTACAACATCCAGATTCTGGACCTGAGAAACAATCACATACTGGACTCAGGTCTGACCTCTTCCTCTCTCCAGATCTCCTCCGTCTCTTGGTGATTGGTCTCCTGCTTCAGTAGTGTTTGTGCTTGTCATTCAACCCGCTGTATTTGCTTTTGCTCGTTTCCTCAGGGTTGGCGTATGTATGTGAGGGTCTGAAGGAGCAGAGGAAGGGTTTGGTCACTCTGGTGCTCTGGAACAACCAGCTCACACACAATGGCATGGGATATCTGGCCGCCGCTTTGGTAAACAAACACACACACACACACACACACAACTGTGTCACAAAAGTTTCCATGAGCAAATCCACATCTTTAGGGCTTATTCAAACCAATAGCAACACAACAATGCAAAGCGAATCGCCAACGGATTTTGTCCCAAAACTATTCACACCAACTATTCGACACACATTTGTTTGTAACAAGTGAAACAAAATCTATTTCATAATAGGGCTGTATCTAACAAAGACTAACATGATGATTATCTGGACGAGTAATTGACTATTCTGGTTATTTACAAACAATACTATACACAATATTACTGTTTTTACTGTATTTTAAAATTAAAAAAAGCAGCCTTAAGAGTCTTCTTTCAAAAGACCGTAGTGAACAAAAGACTAGCCTCTTATGCCTCATTGTGTAATGACCCATAATGGAGCTCATCCACCCCAAACATGAGAATGAGATGAGCTCGTCCACATTCAGTCAGATGCTCATTAAGTAGATTGAGAGGATGCTGTGCATGTCTTCCAGCTGCTGACCATGCAACGCTCCTGTTTACGTGTGTCCTGCCGTCTTTTTGTTAATTAAGGACAAAACACACACATTCTCACAGCCTTGTGTGTGATGCACTGCAGTCCGTGCTGGTCTTCAGAACAGGCTACATGATTTTAAAGCAGTGTTTCACAGCAGAAGACTATTAGATGACTTCGCAAAATAATCCTAAACGCATGCATCTTGAAAATCTCTCACTGCAGAGTTAATCGACTTTCAGTTTCTTTTTCCCATCTCTCTCTCTGCTTTTACCGATCCATCTGGTTTGCTCTCTGTTGCTGTAGCCTTTCACTCAAAGTTTGGAAACACTGAACCTTGGTCATAACGCAGTGGGGAACGAGGGAGTGCACAAACTAAAAGACGGACTCATAGCAAACCGGTCCATCCTCAGGCTGGGTCTGGCCTTCACCAAACTCTCCTGTGAAGGTTAGATCTGGAGAGAAATGTGAAGTTACTGTCATATAAACAATGAATTTGTTTCTTCTAATGCAGATGATGTCACATTTTAGAGCTCGGCTTATGTTAAGCGTGTGTGAATGTGTAGAATGTGATCGGTGTGTTTGTTCGTATGATAGGAGCGGTGGCTATCGCAGAATTCATCGCTGAGAGTCCGAGGATCCTCCGGCTGGACATGCGGGAGAATGAAATTAAAACCGGAGGCCTCATGGCTCTCACGCTCTCCTTTAAAGTCAACTCATCGCTGCTCCGACTCGACCTGGACCGAGAGCCCAAGAAAGAGACGGTGAGTATTTGTTAAATGGGAAGGGGAAAGGATTTCGCTTCATGTAAGTTCAAACTGCATGTATTTACATTAATTTTGCTGCTGCAACACTAACATGTCACAACGTGGTTTTTATTCGGACGTTACTTTCCATTGTCATTAAGGTGTTAGGAAAGATAAGACTGTTTTAATGGAGTCTCTGATTTAATCTTAAATCGCAAAAACAACATTAGTCCAAGTTCATTTCTCTGAGTTTAAAACTCTTTTTGAAAATCAGAAATGCTCATTGAAGTCTTCTTGTGGCCTTCTTCATATATTTAAATGTTTTACAGTGTAAAGGTAAATATTGCTGTTTATTACAGTATGATGTTATATTGATCTAAATATATTAAAAGTTATATATTAGTATTTAATATTTAATGATTTCATATTAATTAATAGATTAAATTCTAATGAAAAAGCAGTGGAAATTATATATACACTAACATTAAAATGATTGGGGTCCGTAAGAATTAAAAAAAAAATTAATTCTTATTCAGCAAGAACACGTTAAATTTATTAAACGTGACAGTAAAGTCATTTATGATGTTACAAAAGATTTCTATTTCAAATAAATGCTGTTCTTTTGAACTTTCTATTCATCGAAGAATCCTGAAAAATTGTATGCGTCACTGTTTCCACAAAAATACGAAGCTGTTTTCAAAACTGATAATAATCGGAAATGTTTCTCGAGCAGCAAATCAGCATATTAGAATGATTTCTGAAGATCATGTGACACTGAAGACTGGCGTAATGATGCTGAAAATGTAAATTCAGCTTTGATCACAACAATAAATTAGATTTTGCTGTATATTCATCTATTTTAACAGCTATTTTAAATTGTAATAATATTTCAGTATTTTTGATCAAATAAATGCAGCCTTGGTGAGCACCAATCAAAGACATTTAAGTCTTACCTATAACCAACCCCAAACTTTTTAACCCATACTGTATATATAGACATAGATATAGATAGATAAAAAAAATTTCATTAACTACACTTAATTAATTATATACCCTCAGTGTTCATTGCATGCATCTATGACCTTTTCATTGCATAACTGCACTGTATCTATTTTTCTCTCACAGGTGAAGAGTTTCATTGAGACACAGCGCGCCCTGCTGGCAGACATTCAGAACGGCTGCAAGAGGAACTTCATCCTGGCCAAAGAGAAGGAGGAGACGGAGCAAAAGATGAGGCAGTCGGTTTCAATGGCCGAAATCGCCACTGAGGACCAAACTCAGGAGGATGAAGATGCATCTGCTGAGAAAATCGAGGAAGAAAACACCGCAGGTCAGGGAGACGCAACCGACGAGGGCAGTGCATCTGACAGCCAAGAGGTCAACGATCAAAAACCGACACTACAAGACGACTCGGACTCTGACACCGAGGATGAGGACACAGCCGAGGAGCCAAAAGCTTCTGCAAACACCACACCTCCCACACTGATTCCTGCAATAAGCGCTTGCAAGACCGTGGCCTCGGCGCCTCCTCTACCAGAATCCCCAGCGGGAATAACGGTGACCGAAGCCAGCGCTGTCCCCGGAGCCCCAGCATCTCCTGGCCGCTGCTTTTCAGTGTCTAGTCCCGGCAGAGGACACAAAATCTTTATGGTAACCCGTGTGGAAAGCCCTCCGGAGCAGCAACAGATGACTGCATTCAGCGAGAGGGTGGCAGAGAGCCAAACATCCACACAAACTAATATAAAAGCACCTTTAGATGCACCATCGAACCAAACAGCATCTGAGCTCAGCACGTTAACATCACGTGCAGAAACAACACCAGCACTTGTTCAACCGCTCAACGCGTCTTCACTTGCCGATAAGCAGGAGAATGTGAAGGAGTCTCGAGCTTCACCATTAGAAATCGCACAGGAACCTGCCACGCCATCTGAAAGCCAGAAGGACGCCGTCCTTGCCGATCAGACTCACTTAGAGCAGCAGTTGATTGTAAATACAAGCATAGAAACATCGCAAAATGTAAGCGAAAAGGACCAGACGTTCTGTTCTCACATGGAGCAGAAACGGGAATCGAGTCCCACCCAAACAGAGCCATCAGTTTCAGGACAATCCCGACATGAGACGCTATGTCCAGAACAGCTGTGGGAAGTTCAGCCAGGTGTTAACGGAGAAAAACAAGTGCAGTCTAGTGAGCAGCAGCAGGCCTCTCAGCTGCAGGAGGTCACGAGAGGTCACGAACCCCTCGATGAGGAAGACTGCAGTGCTCCTGACCAGATCTCCACAGAAGAAGCTGAAGGTCATCCGGCTGTGAGTACGGCAGCAGCGCTGCCCAACGGGCTGAAGCCAGAGTTTGCCTTTCACCTGCTTGAACCCGAGGGACCCAAACCAGCCAGCTGCATTATGGAGCATGGTAAATTACGCTGGATTACCTCATCTTCCACAGCATCATTCCACAACATTTATTTGGATTAAATTACATTTACATTATTCCTAAAACCTGTTCACACCAATTCAGATGCGACTAGATGACATGATAAAATGTTTTCTGCAGGGGTGTAACGGTTCAAGTTACTCACAATTCGGTTTGTATCACGGTTTTACAGTCACTGTTTCTGTACGGTTCGGATTTGCTATGTTTAGGGGAAAAAATTAGTATATTGTCAAATAAAAATAAAGAAAATAAGAACAAATAATCTAATTACAAGCAAAAGCACAAATAACTACAGCAGAGCAAACATTAAAAAAAAAAATAAACAGTGCATTTCAGGGTTTTTAGGTAGGTCTAACACTAGTTTTTAGGACCTATGATGAAAATTACAGGCCTCTCTCATCTTTTTAAGTGGGAGAACTTGCACAATTGGTGGCTGACTAAATACTTTTTTTCCCCACTGTAAGACGCTTGTTCTTTGCTTTGGCATTGGTTTGACACAGAAGTATAAATCAGCCTAAACAGCGCTTCAATTCTATGCGGACCGCAAGCACCGTGATTGGTCTGCTACAATAATAGCATGTTTGTTCATTTTGAAGATTCATCAGGCTGATTCAAACCAATAATGCCTGAATTTGTGAGTCTCTCTGAGTGATTCATGAACTAGCTCATTATGATTATTAAAAAAAATTAAAAATCAGTATTGCAATTTTGTATATTTAACCACACATTTCATTTTGAGACTGATATCAAGTAATATCCTACAATGTGATTTTCTGGATTTTTTTTCTCATTTTGTCTCTCATAGTTGAGGTATACCTATGATGAAAATTACAGGCCTCTCTCATCTTTTTAAGTGGGAGAACTTGCGCAATTGGTGGCTGACTAAATACTTTTTTTCCCCACTGTAAGACGCTTGTTCTTTGCTTTGGCATTGGTTTGACACAGAAGTATAAATCAGCCTAAACAGCGCATCAATTCTATGCGGACCGCAAGCACCGTGATTGGTCTGCTACAATAATAGCATGTTTGTTCATTTTGAAGATTCATCAGGCTGATTCAAACCAATAATGCCTGAATTTGTGAGTCTCTCTGAGTGATTCATGAACTAGCTCATTATGATTATTAAAAAAAATTAAAAATCAGTATTGCAATTTTGTATATTTAACCACACATTTCATTTTGAGACTGATATCAAGTAATGATAACATGCAGGTCATTGTTTGAATCATTTTTATTCAGAAATGCTCATTTAGTTAAAGATTCATCAAGCTGATTCAAACCGATATTATCGAGTCTTTCTGAGTAATTCGTGAAAAAACAGGTCCAATTTCTGTATATTTATATAGTGAGTCATGTTTGTTCAGAAACGTTCAGAGTTCATTCATTTGAAGATTCATCACGCCGATTCAAACCAGTAACGCCTGAATTTGTACGTCTGGGTGAATCATGAATAAACTGGCTCATTTTCTATATATCATGTATTATTATCATGTATTATAATTTGTGATTCTTTCGGGGTAAATAATGAAGAAATACATACTCATGTATGTACATACTCAGTCATTTTCTTGTGAATCAGACTATGCTGGTCACGTATGTTTTTTGCGTGCAGCTTGTGAAGACAATTAAATAGAAAGAATGGGTTTTTTTGCTATTAATGCCTGTTCACACCAAGGCTAATGTTAGGTGCACCGTGCAATAAACAAATTTAATAACATTTTTGTTGGTTTGAACAGGTGTTTACTTTGTAGTATTTGTTTGTTTCATCTGATCACATGCAACTCATACGCTAAGCTCAAACATTGGTCAAATATGGATGCTTTTGCATCATTTAGTTGTATTGGACTAAGCTGTGAACAGGAATTTATGAATATAGTGAAAGCACAAAGACACGTAATATTATAGTGATTTTGAGCATGCAGAGAATGATTCGGTGTGTGTGTGTGTGTGTCAGTGAGCGTGACAGCAGAGCTGAGCTGTGGGCAGGATTTAGAGGAGCTTCTCCTTGATGCCAGTCTGGACACCAGCAGAGATGCACCGTAATGCTGTAACCAAGGTAATGCAAGGAAATTCCCATGTTTATGAAGGAATTCCTGGAATAATAACTTAACAATGTGCTTTTAAGTAAGGTTAAGTTAACCCGTCTCTGTGTCTTCTCAGGATCCACACATGCAGAGAGAATCAGAAGGGCCGGTTTGTTCTCGCCACATGGCATCCGCTCATATTCCTCGGGTCTCTTTCTGTCTTTTTCATGTCTTTTCCACAAATTTTCCAATCGTTGCATCAGAACACAGAGGACTCACCTTCCCTCCAGTGTCCAACTTTGATTGAAATTAGGAAAATCTCTTCTGCCATTCAAACATTTGCCGTAAAGTATATGTTCGCACAGTTACCAAAGACGCACATGCAGAGAAACACACACACACTCGCTAACCGGCGACCTTCTTCTGTTCCTCCCCGTTACGCTGTCGACTGTGGCGCCTCACTGCAGCGCTGCTCTCCTCCGCCCCCTGATGGACTGGAGGTTGTAATGCAGTACAGAGACTGACCGGCTGCAACATGCGAAGACATTTCATTGGTTTTGGCTTTCCGATATGGTCAAGTTGGCAGACGTTGTTTCGTGAGAGCGTTGTTGCGGGTCTCTGTGTGTGTGTGTGTGTGTATGTTGTTATTAGTGTCTCGTTAACACAAAAAAAAGACTTGAGATCTGCTTTCCATTGGAATCGGTCAAAACACTCACTTCTGATCTCACCAGGTTCCCTTCATCAACCAGCACTTCTGAAACCTGCGTGAATGTGTGGAACAATTTAGCGAGTCATCTGAATGATTCGGACATCTTCGTCCTCGGCGAACGAACGAGTTGTACAGTTTTCACTCTCTCTTACGGTCTCAAAGACTCATTCGGTCTTCCATCGGTAAAACCCTGTGTGTCACCGTACGTACCCATCCGAAGACAGGACAAGACACGTTTGCCTTTAAACCTTTTTTCAGCTCTTTACTCCGGCTGCTTGGCTGAATCAGTTTGTATTTATTTTAAACAACCCGAGTCTGTTGTGTGATTCTTTTTTTTCCTCTTCATGTGCCCCATCTTTTTTAAGCTGTTGTTGTGGGATTTTCCCCCTTTGGTGTATATTTTCAGATTCTATATAGAGCAAATATTAAGTTTAAATTTTCCTATTTTGATTGGTGGGGGTTTGGGAAAGGGGCGGGGCTCTGTGGATTGATTTATATAAATAGGGCTGGAGCTCTGGGAGAGTATATGATGTAAATCAGGTGTGTGTTTGGGCGTGAAATGAAGGCAGTTGGAGTGTCGGAGCACAAGACTTCATGAAGAAAACACTACGCTTGTGTGAAGCTACTGCCGCTGGAGACACTAGAGACTACACTTTACCTCGAGAGACGTCGCCATCGTCAGACAAACGTGTGATTCTAGGGCAAACGAGAAGCTTGTGACATCTTGAGCTGATTAGTGTAGTACTTCCCACCATTCCTGGCTCTGTGGTTGGTGCTTTTCAGTTTCTCTCTCTCTCTCTCTTTAACGTCTGGTTGATGTCGACTCTGACGTCTATCTGCCAGGCTTCAGAGAAGCTTTGCCTCTACATCCAGATTGTCTTTGACCTTGAAATCAACACTTCTGTGCTGCTCCCCAACCCGATGTTTGTAATGCTTTATTTTTAGTAATTTTTAAAATTACCTGTTAAATTAATCAAACTGTACCGGTAAACACTAAGAGATGTGTATGGCTTTTCCCTCTCAAATAAATGCATGTTATGACAAAAGCAGCAATTGTGGTTTTTATAAAACAACTTTCCTAATTGCACTTAGGATTTACAGTTATATTTCACATTGGTTTTGTTATACCATTCAGCATGAAGTAATTATTTAAAACGTGACCTTACACCTTTTTTTTTTTTTACGTTTGAAGCCATTTTTATCTTGAATGTGCAAGACTTTCTAGTTATTTTAGCTTTACAATTGTTCACTAAGCTGCTTGGTAATGCAAACAGGTATCTATCATATTTTAATTTATTATCGTAATCATAAACACTAGTTTTTAGTGCACATTGTTGTTCTTATAGACCTTATGTAGCTCGTAGCTTATAGACCTTATGTAGGTCGTAAGAATTTCCCGCTCTACTGAAATTTGTTATGATATTCGCTTTGAACGTAACAATGCAAACGGTAACTTTCGGGATTCACACAACGCTTGCTGTTGAAAGATGTATCGGTATCCTGTTTATTTGGACTTAATCACAACCTGTATGATAAATAATAATAGATGTTTATATTTTCTATAGAGCATTCGTAGACCAATCACAACAGACTAGGCCATCTGACCAATCAGAGCAGAGCAGGCTCACGGAAAGGAGGGGTTTAGAGAGACTGAATCTTTGAACTGCTTCGAACGAATCGTTTGGTGATATTAAATGCATATTTTGAAAAAACTAAAGCGTTTTTTTGACTTTGCATGCATGTGGTCCTATTGTAGGAGACTCCCAAAACAATGTTAGGAATCGTAAAAATTGCATAATTTTTGCTTCCGCAAAAAACGGAAGTTCAAAGACAAAATTCTAAAGATGGCTGCGCTTGTTTTTCTCACGCATAAGGTCTATAGTTATTTAGGATTTACTTTGGAACAACTTTCAATCAGAAATTGATATTAAATCTCTCAAACAATTACAATAAATGGCAACACATTAAACTTAAATTTTGAAGTGGAAAACCCAAAATAGCATTTTCATGTAAATTTACGGTAATAATCTTTATTTACCGTTATGTTTATTTACAGGTTCGTACATTCACAAGACACGGCTTACTTCCATGTTGACACACAAGGTGGATATTACAGCTTGTCTGAAAACGTTTGTTGTCTAAAAGTTGCATTTTGTATCACAATTATTGTTTTGGTATCAAAAGCAGGTGTTCATTCATTTAAATGGCCAAAATGAAATGTAAAAAAGTTAAAATACATCGTTAATGGGGAGGAAAAAAACTCTTGAGAGTGGATGAAATCTATGAAGAAAATTCCCTTTAACTCTCAGAATATTTGTTATTTTGGGAAGAATATACGAGTAAATTTAGGCCTACGGTTTTAGAGGGGTCTGTGAAGAAGATAGAAAAATGAATGTCATTTCATTTGAGGTTAAAGTTAACCACTTTTAATGCAATAATGTTAGTTAATGAAGGCTGGTTTGAAGTGTTGAGGATCTTTGTTGTTGGTTTGCTGGGTTTGCAGAGCATCAGGTGGTCTGGTATGTTACACACGGTGTACTTTGAGATGTTCGGTGCCGTATAGAAGGGATTTTCAAGGTATTTGACAGTTGGAGCTTATTATTAAAAACCTACTTTGAAGGAATGTCCGTGTAATCCTCAGTGACTCGCTCTTACATGAGAACAGAGAGACCTCAGATGTGTAGAGCATAGATAGACTGTTTAGGTTTTTATTCTTTTAATTTCCACAATTCAGTGTTTCTTGCAGTGTCTTTGTAATTATCTGTGAAATTTACTTGCAACTGCAGCATTGTTCCAATTTTTTTCCCCCACCATAACATTTTTTTTTGCCAAAGCTGTGTAAAATAGATTATTGGAGTATGTTTTTTAAAAAAAAAAGCTATTTAAAACAGCCTTTCCATGTGAATTCCCTTCCTGGACATTCTTTCTGCGTATCAGTTGGAGCTGTGAATGCAGGCCGTGAGCATGCTCTGGCGGACAGAAGATCCTCACATGACGGCTCTTACAGGCTATTTTTCCTCCCTCCTCAGAATTTCGGGTTTTAAACAGTTTCTTACAGAACTCTGAAGTTTTTTTATTTTCTCTGAAAATATTGCAATTCTCAGTTGACATCTTGCAATTCTTCCACTGAATTTTGACTATTTTTTTTTTTTTTCAAATTTTGAGTTTACATCTAGCAATTTTTACTTTTTTGGAATTCTGAGTTTGCATCTCGCAAGCCTTACATTTTTTTTTCTCTGAACTTATATTATATGTTATATAATGTAATATATGTTTTTTTCTATGCATTTTCAGTTAAATGTAGCATTTTTCCCCCCTCTGAATTCAGAGTTGTTCTGAATTTGGACATTTTTTATTGGAATTCTGAGTTTGCTGCTTGTAATTTTGACTTTTTTCCTTTACAAATCAAGTTACAAGTTTACCTGTCACGATTTTTACTTTCTCACAATTTTTTTGTTTTTGTTTACATTTTGCAATTCTGACTTTATTTCTTTGGAATTCTTAACTTTTTTCATTTTGCAATTTTATTTTCTTCGTAGAATTCTGAGATTTAAACTTTTTTGGAAGTTTACATCTGAGTTTACATCTTGCAGTTCTGACTTTTTCCATTTACATTTTGACTTTTTTTTTTTTTTTTTTTGCATTTTGCAATTTCTTCTTTGCAGAATTCCTCTCACAATTCTGCCTTTTTTCCCCCTCTGAATTCTGAGTTTAAAACTCGCAATTATGACATTTTCATGAGTTTACATCTTCTCAAAATCCAGTGTCAAAAAAAGAGTTCACCATGCAGTGAAGAAAGTTTAGAAACACTCCTGGATTTAACGGTGACTTTAAAATATATCATTAGTTGTTATTGTGCAGGTGTGATGGCGAGGATATCCGGCTGTTCTTACGTGTGTGCTGGTCTTGACCTTGAGCTTCCTGGTCTTTGAGATTGTAGTCGGCCAAATCTGCAGATCTCTCCTCATCGCTGCGGACACCTTCCATACGCTTTACGTTTTCATAAATCTGGCTCTATCAGCAATAAAGCATCATTCTAGTTCTCCCTGCTCACCCGATACCTCCACGACTGCTGGTCCATCCCGTCCAAACATCTCTGCTTCAGGAGGTCCGAGTCCTCTGTATGCTGAGGACTACAGAAGAATGCGTCTCAAACCCTTCGGCATCCTGATCTCAGCTCATGGCATCGCAGTGTGTCTCCATTAGTCTGGAGATTCTCACTCATCTTGTCCAGCCAGAACCCATTCAACACCGATACCTCCACGACTGCTGGTCCATCCCGTCCAAACATCTCTGGTTCAGGAGGTCCGAGTCCTCTGTATGCTGAGGACTACAGAAGAATGCGTCTCAAACCCTTCGGCATCCTGATCTCAGCTCATGGCATCGCAGTGTGTCTCCATTAGTCTGGAGATTCTCACTCATCTTGTCCAGCCAGAACCCATTCAACACTCACTCCGGTCCATTGTGGTTGGAGGAACTAGTCTGATATTCAATATACGTGTATGGGCCTGGAGAAGAAGCAGCAGCGGGATTGAAGAAGCTGCTGATGGGATCAGCAAGAGTCTGATGTGAAATGACCCTCATTCTACATCAGAACGCAAAGGTGTGTTTGAATAGAACTGTCTATTATGTGTGGAATACTTGTTTCTGATTGGCCATTCAGCTTGATGTTAATATAAATGTAAAATTATCACTTAACGATATTTCGTGTCCAGTCGGGTACCTGAAGTTAAAACTCCATTCATTTTCTCCATAGGGGAATTGATTTTGAACAATAACTTCCACACCGTTAAAGACAGACCTGCTGTGAGCTATTAGGATTGTTAATTGATGCTATATGCTTTGCTGAAGCCATCTGTTTTGCATCATGTATAATCATGTTCAGCAAAGGACTTTCAGGTGAAAAACTACATTACCCATGATTCTGCAGAGAAATCACCAATAGTCCGAGGATTGCGATTAGTAAATGTTTCATAAACAATTGAAATGATTCTCTAGTAACATGCATATTTTGCAATAAACGTAACATATATACACAGTCAAGGTGTTTAAATCAAGAGTTTTGTATTTCTCCATTGTTTTCGGTTTGGTTATGTCATTCACAAAGCCTCATGGGATTGTAGTTCTTTCCCACATGTACGCTGTTAAGTACACAGTCTTGTCTTTTTGTCAGATTTTCAAATATCATTTGCTTCAAATCAAAGTTTGCAATGTTGTGGTCCTCTTTGTTGCAAGTTGGTTTGGTTCATGGCTTATAACTTATTAACAAAGGCTTTTTTAAAATCCCTATGGGAAGAATAAGTGGAAAATGCTTCTGGAACCAGCGCTGCTGAAAAAAAGTAGAAGTTACCATCAAAGTAGAAGGTCATTCATCTTCACTGCAAAACCAAACTTGGACGACTGCACAAGATGCCAACCCTTCCTGCTAAATGTATTCACGTTAAAAGCCCTAAACCACCAGAGGCCCCTAAAAATGAAAACATTTATCGGAAGAAGTGATCAGTTTGGTTGTGCAGTGATGAGAATATGTCTATAATGAATATTTTCATTGTCACATGAGTTATTCTCTTTGAACTGGCAGTGAGCCGCTTCTATAATCCCAAAGACAGTTTTGCATTCCTTCAGTGATACAGAGAATAGCAAGTTCAGCGCAGTCAGCTCCACATTCTGTGGCTTCTGTATTTTATTATGATCGGTAAGGTGAAGCATCTGCAGCAGAACGGCTGTGAGGATCTTGATGATCACTGGGTTGTAGGAAGTGCTCTCCAGGATGACACACTGATGTTCTGCAACCCTGAAGCATCTAGTGTTCTGGATCCAGATCCAGGCTGTCAGGACGGTTCTGCTGAGTTCCCAAACCACAGCATCTCTGATCCGGTTCAGTCCGGTCGTGCTCAAACGCCCACTCCCCGTATCGCTGGAAGATCTCAGGAAATCATTCAGCATTCAGAGCAACTTCCAGAAGAAGCACGTCACTCCACCTGCACTGAACCCAGCGGTGAGAGCAAGACCATACAAAAATACAGTAATATTATTCAAATGTAAAATAGCTGTTCTCTATGTGAATATATGTTCAAATGTAATTTCAGCAGTCTTCAGCGTCACATGATCCTTCAGAAATCATTCTAATATTCTGAGTTGCTGCTCGAGAAACATTTCTGATTATTAGCAATGTTGAAAACGGTTGTGCTGCACAATATTTTTGTGGAAACTGTGATCCCAGAAAGAACAGAATTGATCTGAAATAGAAATCTTTTGTAACATTATAAATGTCTATACTGTCACTTTTGATCAATGTAGTGCATCACTGCTGAATACAATGAAAATACGAAGCAGCACAACTGTTTTCAACATTGATAATAATCAGAAATGTGTCTCGAGCAGCATATTAGAATGATTTCTGAAGGATAATGATGCTAACAAATTCAACTTTAATCACAGCAATCAATTACATTTTATAACAGAAAACAGCTATTTTAAATTGTAATAATATTTCACAGTCTTACTATTTTTAACTGTGTTTTTTATTTTTATTAGCAGAAGAAACTTTTATCAAAAGCAATAAATGCAATAAACCTCAGAGGCCTTCTGATGCTAATCAATTGTATTTAAAACACTTGCATTAACTTCTTCGCCAAGCACTTTAGCAACCTTTAGAACCTTTTAGATGAAGAATATTACTTCCATGGCGTCATGCAAATAGCAAAAGCTGAAACCTGTTGAAACACAAAAACAGTTTTTGGTTTTTTGGACGGATCAAGCTTGCAAAAGTCACCTTTGAAGGCGAGGGCCATTGCTGAGGCACCAGCTGCAAACCAGCTCATGTGAGCTCCTTCATAAAGCTGATCATGTTTAGTCTTTGTTAGTTAGTACTGATATCTGAGTGATCATGTTTGCTGCTGAATTTAGTTGTACCTCTTCTAATTAAAGGTGAGAAATGTGCATGCTTACGTGAACATTCCTCTAGGGCGCATTACTAATGTTGCATGACAAAAATAGCCATTATTAAAATGATTATGGATTACGTTTCTGATTGCAATGTTATTATTGTACATATTTTGTTGTGCATTGATGCTCTTGACTTCGAAGTATGCACATAATCAACTGCTCAAAAAAATAATCTCTTTCTAAAATCATGAACTAGGCATTGATCCTTTCCCCCTCACGGGAACGCATAAAAACACTCGTCTTCTCCTTGTAACCTACTGAAGCTGAGGAGGGCGAGAGCGCGAGGCTTCTTCTTATTTAGACTAGTTTACGGACTTTTATTTTGAAAGTCGGCGCGTCTCCACTTCCGCTCGAGATGTTCTGCGACAACTTCCGCTCCTCCGCTGTTTCCTCACTACGGCTGTTTATTATGAAGTTGATATTAATACATATTTACAAAGACGATAAACTCTGAACGTTTTGCCTTAAAAGCGAAAATCATGGCGAGGGTCGGCGACATCATTCATCTTAACGTCGGGGGCAAAAGGTTTTGTATTAAACCAGCTGCACATCCTGCTCGAAACAAGCCACACACTTTATTAACATTACCATTTCTTACTTTAAACATCTTACTTTACGTAATGTAGTCTTAGTAGTGTTTAAGTATTGCTTTGTATGTATCCGCCGTAACTTACTGTAAATAGCAGGCAGCAGACACCGTAATAAACATCAACAATGGATTATTTTCCTTCTTTTTGGCTAAAAGTGTTGTTGTTTTTATGTCTGAATGTATAAATCAGGTTCAGCACCTCCAGACAGACTCTGACATGGGTTCCTGACTCGTTCTTCTCAAGGTTTGTGTGTTTTAGATCAGATAAAGCTAACCCAGAACACATCCCCCTGCGTGTTTGATGTATATTGACTATTTAAGTGCTTATAACTTAAATAAGGTTGTCATGCTCCTTTATGTACAGAATATAAAAGGGATCAAAAGTATGAAATCGCTTGTAAAGAAAATAAGAAAAAACAAATCTGTATAATTTATTCACATTGAATTGAAAAACAAGAACATCAGTATTTTGCAATCTCAATATTTTTATTTTTTGCACCCTCAGATTCCAGATTTTCAAATAGTTGTATCTCGACCAAGTATTGTCCTATTATCCTAGCATACCATACATCAATGGAAAGCATATTTATTCAGCTTATGTATAAATCTCAATTTCGAAAAATTGACCCTTATGACTGGTTTTGTGGTCCAGGGTCACATTTATATTAATTTTCATGGTTCATGGGCCATAATGTGTTGATTAATGGTTGTGTGCGCAGGTCCGTATGGGGAGCGTGACGAGCAGCAGGTGTTTATCCAGCGTGTGGTTCCCGACACTGATAAACTCTACGTAAGGCTCTCCTCCAATGGAAAGAGGTCCGTTTCAAATACAAACAAGACAAACCAGCATACTTTAACAGTAGAGCACCTGACTAGTTAGTTAAATGAACTGGTGGGAACTGATAGAAAACAACATACCGATCAACACAAATATAGGCGCTGCGCTCTGAGAGCGTGCTAAACTTGGTTTGTGTCTCATCTGAAGGGTGTGTGAGGTGCGTTCGGTGGACGGGACGTCCATCACGGCGTTTGTGGTGCATGAGTGTGAGGGATCCAGCCGCATTGGGTCCAGGCCCCGCCGGTACCTCTTCAGTGGACACAGCAACGGCAGCATCCAGATGTGGGACCTCACGACGGCGATGGAGATCGCAGGGAAAGTGGATATCAAAGGTGAGAGTGGAGGAATGAATGAATGTGATATACGTTATATGTGCAGTAAACATTTACATTTAGTCATTTAGCAGATGCTTTTATCCAAAGCGACTTACAAATGAGAACAATGGAAGCAATCAAAATCGCAATGATATGCAAGTGCTATAACAAGTCTCAGTTAGCTCAGCGCAGTACACATAGCAAGGTTTTTTTTTTATTATATAATAAATAAAAAGAAAAACAGATAGAATAGAACAAGCTAGTGTTAGAGGCCTTTTTGCTTTTGTTTAATTGTATAATAAATAAAAAGAAAACAAATAGATAGAATACAAAAACATTAGAGAAGCAAGTTCTTTTTTTTTTTAAGAAAACAAGCAGTAAATGAATAGAGAAGCAAGTCCAAAAGGGGCAAAAGGCTTTTTTTTAAAGAATAGAGTTAGAATAGAGAGTGCTAGAGTTAGAGGGTCAAATAAAGATGGAAGCGATGTGTTTTTAGCCGATTCTTGAAGATAGCTAAGGATTGATTTGGGCAGGTCATTCCACCAGGAGGGAACATTTAATGTAAAAGTCTGTGAAAGTGATTTTGTGCCTCTTTGAGATGAACAATAAAGTGACGTTCACTTGCAGAACGCAAGCTTCTAGAGGCACATAACTCTGAAGTAATGAACTAAGGTAAAGGGGTGCAGAGCCAGTGCTGGTTTTGTAGGCAAACATTAATGCTTTGAATTTTATGCGAGCAGCTACTGGTAGCCAGTGCAAATTGACAAACAGAGCTGTGACGTGCATTCTTTTTGGCTCATTAAAAATTAATATTGCTGCCGCGTTCTGGATTAATTGTAAAGGTTTGATATAACTGTCTGGAAGACCTGCCAAGAGAGCATTGCAATAGTCCAGCCTGGACAGAACAAGAGCTCGAACAAGGAGTTGTGAAGCACGTTCTGAAAGAAAGGGCCTGTGTTTAAAAAAGTGTTTCCTTAAACAGTTTAAATGAAACACAATACAGGCAAAAACAGAAATGTTTTGTATTTGTGTGTTAAAGCTCTCGGAGGTCCCACTGAAGAGGAGTTACTGGAGCTTTTGGACCAGTGTGATCTAGCACTGACCCGAACACCAGACATGAGTCCTGCCGCGTCTCTCACACACTCCTCACGAAACTCCATGTGCAGGTACACACACCCCCAGTCCTACACCCTCAAACTACATGCCTACACAATTACACATACAGTAATATAGTCTCAAACTTAAACATTATACATGTTAACATAGGTTTGCTTGTTAACCTATTGTAATCACTTTAAACCTACTGTATTTTACAAAAAGGTGGTCTGTTTTTTTAATCATCTGAAATGTGCTGCAATTAATATTCTAAAGAGCTTTTTATAATGCATTTAACATCAAGCATACATGAATATGCACGCTACATTAGTTCTAGTATTACGAACAAAAATCTCACTGGATTATTACAATTGATAGCTAAATGAATGTTTGAAAATGTCAACTGATATTTCCTACTGACACACTACACTACTTGTAAATCAGGATTTTGTGCAGATTAATATCTTGGAAGGGAGAGCTGGTTATGTAGTCAATATTTCATATTCATTCCTTCATTCAGTCTGACAACAGAAACGGTAAAATATATCAATGAAATTTGGCTGCATCAAAATACAGTATGTGGGCACAGAGAGGCAAACACATGTAATAATAAATCTACATTTTGCCTGTTCAGAAGAAGTGAGCTGCCCTGTCCTGTGAATAATGTAAACAGGCTTGTGCAAGTAAATTGCTCCGTGCAAAGAAAGAGAAGTAATGGGAACCTGGTGTTTCTATGTTCTTTTCTCATGTGTCTAATAGACATGAACAAGTGCTTTGAAAAACATCTATGAGCTATGCAACATGTCTAGTCTTCATGCTCTATGTTAGGCATGGTTTCACTAATAATAAACATACATTTGCATAAAGCATCCATATTTTTCCATGCTCATGTTGATTAGAGTATTAAAAAGTTGAAAAGTGTTAATTTAAGGTACATTTAGAACAGATAAAATGTGCGATTACGTTGCGATTAATTATGAGTTGACTCAAGACAATCATGCGATTAATCGCGATTTAAATATTTTAATCGATTTACATCACTACTGTACTGTATATACGTGTGTGTGTGTGTGTATGTGTATATATATATATATATATATGTATGTGTGTGTGTATGAGTACTGAGTAATACTGATTAACAACATCTTTTAAAAAAGTAAATATTAGCATTTTATTTTTAAGTTTACTATATAATAATTGTATTTGTATTTAATACTCCCTTTTTATTTTAGAATATAATAGTATAATCACACTTTATTCTTTTATTTTAAAAAAATAACTAAATAAAGTGCGATAATATGATCACTATTATTAATTTATATTTGTATAGTTATATTGAATGGGTTATTAATCGCGATTTAAATATTTTAATCGATTTACATCACTACTGTACTGTATATACGTGTGTGTGTGTGTGTATGTGTATATATATATATATATATATGTATGTGTGTGTGTATGAGTACTGAGTAATACTGATTAACAACATCTTTTAAAAAAGTAAATATTAGCATTTTATTTTTAAGTTTACTATATAATAATTGTATTTGTATTTAATACTCCCTTTTTATTTTAGAATATAATAGTATAATCACACTTTATTCTTTTATTTAAAAAAAATAACTAAATAAAGTGCGATAATATGATCACTATTATTAATTTATATTTGTATAGTTATATTGAATGGGTTACACACTATGTGCAGTGTGAGGACCAAACCAAATCTCCAGGCTCTCTTTTGAGAACCAGGCTGAAAAACGTATGTGCACCCCTGGTTATTTGCATGTAATTATGCATAACTTACTGTCTTTATTACAGTTGATACAAGTGTAACACAGTCACTGTGAAATAGTGTTAGCCTTGTTTTCTGTCATGGCCTGTAGATGGCACTATTGCTCGTTTATATAGTCTCTCATGTCTTTCCCCACAGTCTTCAGTCTCAGTTCGGTGATATCGGTCGAGCTGCCGGTGGTTTTCGGGGTCCGGCTCCTCTGACCGGTAGTCTGCCCCGTCAGGCCCCGCTGGTTCCCCTCAGCAAACCCCA